AAATGACATACGAAGAGCACGTCAGCTCTTTGACATGCTTCTTGAAACAGAGGATCAAAAACCCAATCTTTATATCTTTAATAGTTTGATCTCCGGTTATGCGAATGTCGTCAAAGATATGGTTGAAGCCAAACGACTTTTACTCTATCATCCTATCACACAAACGTTACACCCTAAAGCGTTAACATTTAATATTGTTATACAAGCATATACCATGCAGAATGAAATGGATGCAGCGATGGATTTGATGCGGCAAATGGAAAATATACATGGTGTTGAACCAAATGCATGGACTTTTTATCACTTAATTACAGGTTATTTGAATAATGGTCATTTTAATCAGGCATTTGCATTGCTTAAATATATGTCTAGAAGAGGAATCAAACCCGATTGGCGATTGAAAAAAGCACTTAAAGAAATAAAATATAGAATTATGTATAAAAATTTTGTAAATTTAATACCACAAATAAATCTTTAGTTATCTCTTATCATATAACTTTAGGCTTGCTTACATTCTAATAAAAAATAATTTTTATATACAGGAAGGGTAACAATATACAATTAAAATTTGGTGATTATAAAAAAGTGTAATTATATAAGTCAAAATTAATTTATTTGTTTTATAATAGTTAAACTAAAAAATAGTAATTATAACAAGGTAAAGATTACAGTCAAAACCATAAGTATTCCACTTGTAACTTTTTAAATTCAAAAGTTATAATCTTAAAATTTCTACAATAAATAATATTCAATAAATGTTAATAATTTTTTTTATAATTTTTTAATTATTACAACAAAAGTTAAATGTAAGTTAAAATTTTAATTAATTTTTTGATTAAATTAATTAAATTTAATTAAAAATCAATAAAAAATCAGGATTATATTTAGTTATAATCAAATTTTGAGTTAATTTGATAAAATAGTTGTTGATAAATTAATTTTTCAAAATTATTTTAAAGTATATATTAAAAAATTAGTTGTGCAACTAGGTTTTTTAATTTTAATATAGAAAATAATTTAATTTTTATATTAAAATTAGAAAAACATCTAAAAAAAACTTAAGCAAATAACTTGTATAAACAAAAACTCTTAAATAAAAGAGGTTACCAATTTGGTTACTAATTGATTTGGGCATAAAGTTATATTATATAAAGTTAACTAAATTATTAATATAAAAAAACTTGTAAAAATATACAAAATACTATTAAAATTGTAAAAATTACAAAAATAAAACAGAAGTAGTTATATTTCAACTAAGACATTAATTAAAAATTTACTTAGTTTTATTTTAAAAACTTTTATATAATATTACTAACTTTAAATTTAATTAACTAAAAGTTTTTAAAACAAAAATTCTTTTTAACAAGTTACTAATATACTTATTATACTATACTATTTATTTAAGAATAAATATATATGTCATATATTGTAATGTACTTATACATCATATAAATTTACAAATTATAATTTAACAACTAAAATAAACTAGTTTTTTGTTTAGTTAAAGTTAGGGTTATATAGAATTAGATGCAATAAACAAAAAAAATTTATAGTAAAAATTTCTAAAAAATTTTTTTGTTGGAGTATGAAAGATAGTTTTATATATGAAAATTGAGTTATAAGTAACTTTTGTCAAAATAAATATTTGTTTGAATCTTCTTGATCATGCTATGTTATATCTGATATAGCAATTTGATTGGCCAATAATTAATATGTAATGTATAAGCATATTACAAAGTTGCAACATCTAATTTAGTCTTTTATTTAAAACAATATCTAAATATTATTTGATTTTATTATAACTTATTTAACTTCTATTTTACTAATTACTTGTACTAATCTATTCTTATTTAATTAAAGTATCAAACTTTTATTAAACAAATTATTTTTAATAATTTATTTGATTTTAATATTCATTAAAAATATAATCTAATTAATAAAATTAAGATATGATAACTTAATAAAATAAATAAGTTATTTTTTTAAGTGATAGATTGTAAGTTCAAAATCTATTAAAGACAAAAATTTAAAAAATATATCTATATTAAAGTAATAATATTTCATTAATTAGTTAAAATAACAAAAGAAAAAATACTTTATTTACTAATTCTATTTGACAAATTTAGTCAAAACACACAAAAACATAAATAACTCAATAAATAATATAGAAAGTATACAAAAAAGCATTAAGAAAAAAGAAGCAGACAAGCAAATTACATAAGTAAAATACAAAGTTGTAACAAAAAAAGCATAGCAGAAGTTCATTTTGATAGGTTATTAATATGCTTTGGATAATGTATTAATCATATCTAAATAAAGCATTAATTATTTATTTCTAATTGGCTAATTTGATATCATTATTTGTTTATTTTATATGATATTATCAATTTATCAATAATATTTATTATTTAAAATATAATTTAGTAAATAATTTTTTTTTAATTCTTTAAAGTGAAAAGCAATTGTTAAAAGCATAAATCTAATAAGCATACTATTTTAAAAATATTTTAATTGCTATAACTAAATTTTTATAAAAAAAGAATAAAAATTAAAATAAATATTTAAAAACTAATTAAGAAAATGCAATTGCATCAGAAAACCTTATAGATTTTATTTTTTTAATATCTTTTCAGAAGATTATAACTAATTATTTATCTGAATTCAAAATGCAGAAACAAAAAATTATTGAAAAAAACATAATAAGTTCAAATAATAACAAATAGCTTGTAATAGATCAGTCTTATATCAATTTTATCAATTCTAAGCAGATGCAAGATTTTGAAATTATTTTTTTTTATAACCAACTAATTAAAAGTTATTTAACTCAAATTTTTAATAGTACTATGTTAGTGAGATTTTAATCTAATACAAATATTAATTAATATGAAAGATAATGCTAAGAATTAGATAATGCTTGGAATCACATAATAAATCAATTAATGTGATCTATGTTGGCTTCCAAAAATCCTAATCTTGTGTAACATACATCTAAAGCTGAATAGATTCTTATAATATACCATATATTTTATCAAATTAGCTTTACTTAATTTACCCAAGACTGCTATTTTTTGTATTTTTTTTTATCAATGATTAGCAAAATTCTATAATTTGATTAGTTGTATATCATGTGATAATGCACTGCTTTAGATTTTTCTTAGTATTACTGTCAAATTTTTCACTTTTACATAGCAGCATTTCAAAATCTTTAAATTTATTTAAGTTAGAGTTAGCATTTATAATAAGGCTAAGTTTTAGTAAAATAATAATAAAATTACTTAAAGAATTTTTTTGTTAGAGCACAAAAGGTAATTTCTTATAAAAGTTTTTGAGAAATAAGCAATTTTTGAAAAATGAACATTTTGTTTTAATCTTTTTGATCATGTAATGTTATATTAAAATAAAACTTACTATTAGATAATCATTACATGAAAGTAAAAATTTGATAGCAATACTGTGGTAGTTCTGCTTTAGATGGCCTCTTAGTTAATACAACAAAACATATACATTTGCATTGTTAAGCAAAAAAAAGGTTCTTGCATTTAACATTGTAATAAAAAAAAACTGTAACTAAAGCAGAAGTTTTATACTTATCATAGAAATTCAAGAATTAGTCAATGATAAAACCAAATTGTCTACCTTAATTGCACTTATTATAGAACCTAGAAGTGTAAATTAAAAAAAAAACAAAAAAAAAACATGTCTACTATTACAAAAATTCTGGAAAGCCCAAAAGAATATTAAGCAATTGTTAAATATCATCACTTAAAGATCATACTATATGATGTACAACATAATTTTAAAAAAAAGTTCAATTTTATCTGTTACTGCAAGAAATTTAAGGTTGATGAAAATGATTGTCTTTATATTCAGCCAGTTGTAAAAGATGATATAGTATCAGAAAAATGCTGTATAATCTCCAAGTATGATATAAAGATGTAAACTTTAATATTGTTATGCTTTTATGATCAAGCCAACTACCTTAAGTATTATAAAACTTTTTCTGTAATTTCAGAAAAGCATATTAGAATTACCTAGGAAGAAATAAAGGTATATATCAATCAGTGTTTTGCTTATATAATAAATACTACTATCAAAGAAAAAATAGACATGAGACCTATAGTATCAATGGCATCCTGACAGCATGTTCAAATTGACCTAATCAATTTTTGGGATTTTATTGAGATCAATAATGATTTTGCATGCTTACTTACCTGTGTTTGTATGTTTTCCAAGTTTTTTGTTGTGGCTCTTCTGAAAAACAAAAAAGCAAGTACAGTTGTGACACATCTTCTTAAAGATGTTTTCAAAATTCTTGGCCCTTCTGTAGTTCTTCAAAGCAACAATAATAAGGAATTTGTTGCAGGAATTATCATTCAAATTTGTAAAATACTCAATATTACAGTTAGACATAGTAGGCTCCACCATTCCAATTATAAAATCAGATTGAACAGCTCAATCAGACTGTGGGTTATAGTTTTACTAAGTTGCTTTGGGATCAAGATAACTAGTTACAAAGAAAAGACTGGATCAATATAATTGATGTATTTGTCATATTATATAACTCGACTATTCACAAAGCATATGGTTATACACTACATGAAGTGATGTTTAGATAAAAAATGCATTGTGTTTATGATACTTCTGGTTCTTATTTCAAATATAAAACTTATTTGTAAACCTTAGCATCATTAATCTAAAAATTTCATTACTAGCATTAGCATTAGGATTAGTGATGCCTGACAAAATGATAAAACCTGATGAAACCATAGGTTTTATCAAGTTTCATTAATAATAAAACTTGATAAAACTTATGGTTTTGTCAGATTTCATCATTTCATCAAGTATTACTAGTTAAGGTTTGGGTGTATTTTAATTTGATTTTTAATTTGATTTTATATTAATTTTGATCTTGACTTTTGATTTGTCTGAATAGTAAAATTTTTAGATTGGTAATGTTAGTATAGTTAAACATATTTAGAACAACTAAATATATAATTATTTCATATTATAACAGATATTTCTGAAACCACCATCTCAGAGACTGCTTCTGAGCCCACATATGTTCCTAGAACTATTACTGTCTCAGAAACTGCTCCTGAGTCCACATACACCTCTAAAACCACCACCATCTCAGAGACTGCACCTGAGTCTACAGACACCTCTGGAATTACTGTCATCTCAGAAACTGCATCTGAGCCCTCAAAAACCTCTGAAATTACTGTTACTACAAAAACTGCCTCTGAGCCCTCAAATGTCTATAAAACTACTGCTCTTGATGTCATGATTGGCTCTGAAACCACTATTCTTGATACCATGACCAGTAAAGCTGCTATAGAAAAATGCATTTTACAAATGCTTGAAACTTGTCAGTCTATAAATGCTTCACTTGAAAAGTATCACAAAAAATTATGTCATCAGAATGTGTATAAGAAAAAAACAGTAAACAACATGATTGAACCTGAAACTAAAATCGCTATTGCACCTGATCATAACATAAATCAACAAACCCACAAAAAAAAATTACAGCCAACTTTTTCTAAGCAGGGTGTTTTTAAATCACTCAAGTCTAATAATCATACTGCAGTGGTTAAAGTAAATGGTAAAGACATTCAGATTTCTGTTACATAGGTCTGAGTTGTAAAAAAAAATTGTAATTTGTTGGATTTTTTTTTTTTTGTTAGATTTTTTTGTTAGATTTTTTTGTTAGATTTTTTTTTTTTTAATTGATTTTTTTTTAGAATTTTAAAGTTGGAATTAGGCATATTTTAAGCTAAATAGCATGTTGATTTAGAATTAGATGCAAAGTGTTTATAATTATACTATTATGTCTTGTTTGTACAGTTTTGAAAAATATCAAAATGAATGTTTTGCTTTGAATTATTTTGTTGTAATATGATTATTAAATCTTGTACATATGTAATTAAATCTGTACTACAAAGTATAATTGTTTATTATGTTACATGAGATCAAGATTTTTTGAAAGCTAATATAGATTACATGATTGATCTATCATATGATTCTAAGCATTATCTGATTTCCAGCATTATCTTTCACAATTAATATACAATATATTTAATATAATTGCTATCAAATTCGAATAAAAAATATTTGCAACATGATTTCTAAGTTCAACATTCAAAATAACAAGCTATGATTAAATAAATAATTATATTTTTGCTCTATTTACTATAAAAGTAGATATAATATTTTAGTTTATCAGACAGAATATAAATCTAAAATTCATAAATTAGAATTTATATATTATATAATTTTTTGTACTTATTTTCAAATAAATAAAATTAAATTTAATTTTTAAAGTTTTAAAATATAAAAAATTAGCTTACTTATTAAATTATTTCAAATATTTATTATAATTTTCTTTTATGCCAATTTTATTATAGTAACAAATGAAGGTTTTCTGAATTCTCATCAAATTACCTGTCTCTGCTAACTTGAAATAATATTTGAATGCTTTTTGTTTATTAATTTAGCTAATTAAAATATAACAGAAAAGTTCTAAAAGCAAATTTAAATCATAATTCTCTATATATATTATGCATAAAATTTAAATAAACATAAATTTGAAATTAAGTTGTATTAAACTAAAATTAAAATTATTTTATTATTAGTCATAAAACATGTTTAACTGAATGTTATTATTTATAAATTAAATAAGTACCTTACTTAATTTTATATATAAATTTATGCAAAAAAATTATTTAAATTAAATTTATTTAAGAATATATATATAAATCTTTTTTTAAATATTAAATATATATTCTTTAGCATTTAATACTTTTTTGTTTAAAGTTTTAATTCTTAATCTTAAATAAAGTATAAAGAATCTTTTATCAAAGTTGGTCAATTTTTATTATATTTTTTAAGTTAAATAATTGACTTATTTTATTCAATAATATGATTAATTAAAATAGTTTTTTAAAAATTAAAAAAGATTTTATTAAGTAAAGATTTTTTTTAGCTTTAATAAAAGTTGTAGAAAAGGCTTTTTAATTCTAATAATAGTTAGATTATTAAAATTGGTTTGGTAAATTCCAAGATACTTGAGTTAAAGAAAAAATTACAAGGATTTGCAAATTTACTATTATACAAAGCATTACTATTTTATATAACAGTAAATTTGCAGATCCTTGTATTTTTTTTTAAAAAATAGAGTGTATATAGATCATTTTTTATATGATCTAGATGGTATAATAAAAATGTATTACTAATAAAACTTTTTTTTTTAATTAATTTTTATCAAAATTTAATAATATATAGGCTTAAATAAGTTATTTAT